CTCAAAAATAAACATTAAAAAAATTTTAAAAGCATCTTTATAAAATTTCTTCCATGCTTTGTGATACTTGTTGCATAGCTTTAGAGGGATTTGATGACCCAGTCACTAAAATAAATTTCTTCTTGGAAAAAAAAAATTAAAAAGAAAAGACATGAGCTCAGTTTCAAAAGACAATATGATAGTTATTTTCCCTCTTATCAATTTAAAATATTTGGCACCTATAGAGATACCAGGCTCCTAAATTTAGAATGCAGACTGATTGCTTTTTTTTTTATTTTTTTATTTTTATTTTTTGGCATAGAGAACTGGCTTTAAACTCTTCTCAGAGATTTAAGTGATTTAATATTTGTCTTCCTAAAAAATATATGCTCTGCAGTCTACGTTAAGAGTGCACATTTTGTAGAGGTGCCTGAGTGGCTAAGACAGTTAAGTGTCTGACTTCAGCTCAGGTCATGATCTCGCAGTTTCTGGGTTTGAGCCCCACGTCGGGCTCTGTGCTGACAGCTCAGAGCATGGAGCCTGCTTCAGATTCTGTGTGTCTCTTTCTCTCTCTCTGCCCCTCCCCTGCTCATGCTCTGTCTGTCTCTCTTTTTCTCAAAAATAAATAAACATTAAAAAAAATTTTTTTTAAGAATGCAGATTTTGTGAAAGCAAAGCTATGGTTGAAGTCTCAAGCAAACAAATGTCTTCCTAGCCTAATCCTCTCTTTCTCTACTTCGAAGGAATGTGTTGCAACTCAATCTAGGCCAGCTTTTCAGCCGGGATCTAAAGAAAAATAAAACTCAAATCTTTCATTATCCACATGAAAGTCCCTGTTCTTTTAAGGAAGAAGAGTTTTATGATGACAGGTTTTATGGACAATATGAATTCCATAGAAGAATTACGTAGGTTTCAATCCAATGGGATCCTGCCTTGTACATCTTGTATAAATCTCTTTGCCCTGGATCTTTAAAGTTTTATTCTGAGCCTACAGATAGATCTCTCAATGTTTGCTCCACTGTGCAGACTTTCCAAACCCAACTGACTATTTAAGTGTTAATTTCTGAATGCCACGAAGGCTATTTTAAATGTATTAACACTCTCCTAAAAATTGTACTTTCTTTCTTTCTTCTTTTTTTTTGAGAGAGAGCATGAGCAGGGGAGGGGGCAGAGAGAGGGAGAGAGAGAATCCTAAAGCAGGCTCTGTGCTGTCAGCTCAGAGCCCAATGGGAGGCTCAGACTCATGAATCATGAGATCATGACCTGAGCTGAAACCAAGAGTCAGAAGCTTTACAGACTGAGCCACCCAGGTGCCCCTTAAATTGTACTTTGCTTGGTACCAGTCACAGTTTGTGTTCAAATTTGAAATATGTCTATCTTTCTCACTACACTGTGAGCTCACTATCTTGTCCGCGACGCCCAGTACTGTGCCTGCTAAATAGTGCAAGATCTATATGTAGTTAATTGTATGGGTGAATGAGTGACTCTATCCATCAATTAATTCTTTAATCAGATTATTTTTTCTTTTCCCCAGTTTCACTAAATTATTTTTAATTTCCTACCATTCTCCCAAAGCACAAGTTCATCTACTGGATAAAATCCACTTTACTTTATCTTAAATATTAACAAGATAAAAAGTTAAAAGAGTTGAAGAAGTAACAATAGCTACTTTAACTTCTCGTTGTGGTATGGACAATAAGACTTATTTCAGAGATTGTAATAAGCAGGGGTTTTAAAGACTACTAACTCAAACCTAATCCTATTTGTTAGGACTGTCCCCAACTGCCACCATTCTCTCCAGCTAATGATGTGCTATAGCTCACAATTAAAATAAATATGCCACAGAGCAGCACTAATAACATTTTTTGGTGTCTCCCTTTGCAATAACTCTTCTCTCCTCTTCATACATTCACTTTTAGGGGCACCTGGGTGGCTCAGTCATTTAAGCACCGACTTGGGCTCAGGTCATGTTTTCTCAGTTCACGAGTTTGAGCCCCACATCAGACTCTATGCTGACAGGCCAGAGTCTGGAGCCTGCTTCAGGTTCTGTGTCTTCCTCCCTCTCTGCCCCTCCCCCACTTGTGGGCGCTCTCTCTCTCTCTCTCTCAAAAATAAATAAAAACATTAAAAACGTTTGTTTGTTTTTTAATTTATACATTCACTTTTAACTTTTTTCTTTCTATCTTAACAGCCTTTCGTCTGCCAAGAGGACCAGAAGGCCGGTGACACCCACAACTAAGGGGACACCCACAGCCAAGGGGACACCCACAGCTAAGGGGATTTAGGAGCCCAGATCCAGAAAAGGATTGAGACGTTGTTTCCACTTTCAGTTCTATTATGCAAGAGCTGGAAGATTCAAATTATTCAATCTTTAGGTATTAATTTTTAAAAAATATATTGGTAATACCAAGATCAATCTCACTCCTTGTGAAGTATTTTTTTATTAGAAGCTTGTAAATCTGGACTTCCATATTATTTCTGATGGACTACCTATATTATGAAATCTTGCTTATTATAGTTCATTTGCATTTACCCCAAACTGTAAGAAACTCAGCTGTAGTCAGGTGTGGAGACAGTTGTTTTTGACTTACAGCAACCAGGAAAGTCAATATATGTAAGTAGGTTAGGAGCATTGCTAGAAAAATCTAGGGATTGTGAATTCCTAGTCCTAGAAGTTCAAAGAAATGCTTACTGTGGATATTGAAATTTTTAGATGATACAGAGAAGTTTGGGAGTATAGCAGGACTGTAACTCTTCTCTAGAGAACATGGTCAGTAAAAAATGACAAAAGGGAAGAGGAAGAATGATAGCAGTAAAATTTACTTTAAGTCATAGAAACTCAGTAAAAGTTGTATTGACAGTTATATCGCCCCCTTACCTTCACCTATAGGTTGGGAGGCTGCTGCTATTTCCCTTCTCAAAGGAGATCCCATGCTTCTAGTTCAAGGAAATAGAAAAGCTTAGATAATGCTCCACACTGAGGTCACCAGTGACCAAAATGTAATCACAAAAAAGCACTGCAGGACAAAGGCTAAACATCATCAGAGAGTCCTGTGCGTTTTAGGCAAAAATGGAGTGTAGCTGTGCACATGATTACCCAAGAAAGTGAAGTGATGTTGGGTAGGCCTATTCCCAGCATTTTTTCCCCCAAAGTGCAGGCCACAGACTCTTAGAGGGCCATGAAACTGATTTAACTGGTTTTAATGAACACTTTTCTAAAAGTAAATAAATACATAAGTGAAATAGACTATCATAGCGTGGAATGGCCAGAGTAGGATACAACAGGGCCGAACAGAAGAGGAAGCACCAGAGGACCATCGTCACACGCAGAAGCATATTTTTTTATGACCCTTTTCCTATCAGATATGTACATATGTGTACACTGGGTCTCAATAGAAAAGGTATTTTTTGCTGTGGAATGGATCAAGCCACTCTGATAGCAAAAGCTTTGGAGTCTGACACGCTTGGGTTTGGAATACCAGGAACAGGCCTTTGCTTATGAAGTGGCCTCGGTCAAGTTCTCAGATCTCATTGATTTATTTTTTTTTTTAAATATTTTTATTTATTTCTAGGAGAGAGAGAGAGAGAGAGCGTGAGCAGGGGAGGGTCAGAGAGAGAGGGGGATACAGAATCTGAAGCAGGCTCCAGGCTCTGAGCTGGCAGTCAGCACAGAGCCCGACGCGGGGCTCGAACCCACGAACAGCGAGATCATGACCTAAGTGAAAGTCGGACGCTTAACCGACTAAGCCACCCAGGCGCCCCAGATCTCATTGATTTAATCTCTTCTGCAGCAATCGGAATAGAACGCTGATCTGTCTGAAGACTCCTCAAAGAAATGTTTATAAATGACTGAACTACTATGAAGCCTCCTGTGTACATGTAAAAATATTAAATCAAGTTGGTAGGCTTTTCTCCTCTTAATCTGCCTTGGGTCAGTTCAATTCACAGGCTCTAGGCACAGAAGCTAACAGGGTAAAGGCAAGTTCTTTTTTCCTCCCTTACACCTGGCACATAGTAAATACCAAAAAAATTAACTTGTTCCTGTTATTTTTAATAATGTTATCCCTGGCCTCCATCCTCTTCTGTATGAAAGGGAGGGAAAAGCATGACAAAAGGAGGCAAAGTCCAAGGTCTATTTAATGATTCATACACCTTCCAACATTAAAGCTTCCCTAGAAAGCTAAAAAAGAATATGTGAGCTCTAAATATGTGAGCATTATGGAATTGTTCTGGTGCAAGTGAGATGCTCAACAACTTCATACCGCCTTGGAGCCGGATCTGACGATCTGGCTGCGCCTATCAATGGCATGCATCGGCACACGGCACGTTCTGCGAGGGAACCCACATGAGAAAGTCTTCATTATCATGATTCTATCAGCAGATCCGTCTGCTGGCCGTTACTGTGCCTTGCGTAAATTTGGCTGTGACTGCTTCTTGGCCTCTTGTGGAGGAGTCCACTCGGAATGCAACCTATTCGAGCTCAGCCTTCAAACTCTTCCCTCAGCCCGATGGAAATGTTTTTCTACCTTGTCAACTGTCATCTATCTGGACAGTTTAAATTGTATTAGTGGAAAAAGCAAGTGGCATATAAATAAGTGACACTTAAACCAAAGAAGAGCAAACCAAATTATTAGTATAGAATTCAGATATCGCCACAATGTTTGGGGATCATACAGCTGGGTCTGCTTCCATTTCACAAAAGAGGAGGAAGACCAGTTACCAAAACTCAAAGACGCAACAGTTAATTAACAAAATTATTTCTCAGCGTCAAATTCCTTTCGGCTCTTAGCATGTTTATTACATCTATGAGATACGAATACTCATTAATAGCCATTACTGTTGTTGATATTAAAATAAACAATACAACTAGCACATCACATACAGCAAAATGGACGACAGATGCTATCCAAAAAGAAAAACTAGCTACAAAGTCAACCTTCTAATGCCATTATCAGAATTCATTAATATTTATAGTTCTCTCTGCCCCCTATACTATTCCATAAAAACCTGAGCACATTTACCCTTGAAAATGAGACGAGCAGGCAGTAGTTGTACTTATCTCTTCACCAAGAACAGAGGAGAGCAGAAGTGCCCTAGGATTCTCACCTGAGACAAGGAAAACAGGAAATCAGAGTGGCTGTCGACTAAGGATCAGGCTAATTTATGACGGGATGGGAGTGTCCCAAAGACTCACCTCCTGGGAGACGGCACACACACATACACAAAAATGGAATTCTGAGACAATGGGGAAATCAGAATTTCAGCATCAGAAATTCTGCTTCAGAATTCTTGAAGAGTTTTAACCAACTATGAGGCTGGGGGATGGGCCAAGTATGAGGTTGGGGGATGGGGACAAGATCTGTACAAAACCTACTCTTTTGATTAAAAAAAGCAAACACTCACAAAAGAGACAACAAGATACCTTCAAAGATTCAAAAAGAAACTTCCAAGGCACATGTTCACTTGTCAACATAATTAGAGGGCAGTGATTCTCTCTAATTAGTACTTTAGTTACTTAATGAATGTTTATAATTTTGAGGAAAAAATACTGTTTTTATTTATTTTTTAATAAAGTATTTAAAAATTTTTTTATTGTCTATTTATTTTGCAGAGACAGAGACAGAGCAGGAACACTCTCTGTGGAGAAAGAGAGAGAGACAGAGTACAAGTAGGGGAGGGGCAGAGAGAGAGGGAAACACAGAATCTGAAGCAGGCTCCAGGCTCTGAGCTGTCAGCACAGAGCCCGACGTGGGGCTGGAACCCATGAACCAGGAGATCATGACCTGAGCTGAAGTCCCATGCTTAACTGACTGAGCCACACAGGCGCCCTCAAAAATACTGTTTTTATTCAATTGTGTATGGCTCATTTATTTTTTTTCTTAATATGCTATAGCTACAGCTTTAAAATCCATGATACAAGTAATATTTATCAGGTGCTTAAACTGCTTTAAACAAATGTGTGGTATTTGTTATATCTTAAATGTTAGCCTAAGTAGAGCGAGCTTTTAATTAAAATGTCATTACGATACAGTGTTTATAGGAAAGCAGTTTCAACCAAATCTCTAACATCAGATAATCAATAATGAATTATGAAGTCATTTAGGGATTTTTAGTAAGCAATTAATTATGGCATTCAAATGTCTCCGTAACACTCTGGTATAAGAATTATCATGCTCATTTTCTAAATAAGGAAGTAGCATTAGCAAAAATTAAATAACTGAAGCTCTTGCTCTTTACAGTGTCCTCTGCTGGACAAGTTACTATTATTATGGAGATGAAAATATAAAAAAAGATATTTTCTGAGAAGGGAACCTGAATATTTTAATTGTCTAGTACAGTATGTAGATATGAACATATTTCCACTGGCATTATTAATCATTATATTTTGCTATTAGAATCAACCTCACTTGAGAAAAAAAGAGTTCAAGTCCAATCTAAGTATCCTCAAAAGTGTACAATTAGTTAGACTCCATTGCAGTGCTCTGACTTCTAAATCACCACCTGCCTGCTTTGGTTTTGAGAAGTTTAACAGAATAGGTACCCCTTAGATTAATTTCTTTTGTGCAGCTATTGTTTTTTGTTTATTTATTCCAAATGATTAGATAAATGTGGCAATTATGTTTTATGTTTTTACTTGATTTGCTCAGTTTTGAACAGGAAAATGGAAATGCTGTGTCCATAGTTACAAACTTTCCGTATCACAAGACCTATGAAGTTAAGTCCTTTAGACTAAAAGACTGACACTTTCCCTAAATTAGAGGTAAGTTTGAATTATTATGGTGGTCTTTTACTTCCCGGTTAATGCATGTTACCTTCTAATGTTGCCAACAGTGATAAATTTAAGTATAGCCTTGGCATAGAACTTTCTCAGGAACATACAGTAGAATGGGTGAAGTCTGGGCCTGTCAGTACCACGCCTGCACGTTTTTGTCATATAAAGCATGTTGAGGAAACAAGACAAAGGGCAGTGGCTTAAGTCTAGTCTCAGTCTCAAATCTGAGAAGAGAGTTAAATAGACACTAACATTTTAATTTTCTTTCTTTCCTTCCCTCCCTCTCCCTTCTTCCCTTCTCTCTCTCAGACACTCTATACTCATTAACACCTCTTCCTAAAAATAGCCCTAAGAAGTACTAGGCACAAGTGCTGTCCTTGTTTTCCAGATGCTACTCACTTTCCCCCAACCTCAGACAAGCAAGTTTCAGTTGAATCCCTTAGATTCTGATTTCAGAACCATATCTACTCTGTTGCCAAAGTCTTGGAGGGCCTTAGCTTAGCAGTTCAAAGGAGGCAAATAAACCAGTTGCTGTGAGGCCGGGTGGGTTCTTAAGTTTAAGAGATTTGTTTCATCAAAAAGCTACCTGGGGTGATGTGTGAGATGTTTCGGGCTATCTTCAAAGATTTAGAATCAAATTTTAAAATCTGAGAGAACTTTAGAAAGAGCCCAGAGAGGTGTGAATTGAACCAAAGTCCCAAACCAGAGGCTTGACTAAAACTAGACTGTGTCCTAAAACCCTCAGTCACTTGCAGCATGGCTGTCTGTAGTCAATATAGAGTACTACCAGAAGGAATAGAATTGTCCCATACCTCAACCCTGGCCCCTCCTTTATTTTTACTGGTGGCAAAACTAGGGAGTCTCCAGTATATTTCTCATAATCTGCCTAACTTGGCTGGCACCTCCAATACCTCCTTCACCCAGAAATACTGTCGTGGGTTTCCCATAACTCCTCTGTACCTGCTTGGTCTCTCTGGGCTCTGACTAAAACCCACTGCTTCTCACTGCTTGATGTGATGCCTGAAGGATAGTCCCCATGCCCTGGTTTTCACTTCTGTTTTGAATGTTCTGGTGAACACGGTAGTACTCTGTCTGCTGTGGTTTTAATTCAGGTTTTTCCTCTGCACTTTATCTTAAAACTTCTCTTGCCTATAATCTCTACAACTCAAGCAAGTTCCCCCACAACTGCCTCCACAGTCTGCCATCCACTCGCTTACAACTAATTAAGATCTACTTTATGATGTTGATCTTACTTGGCCCACAACCTCGGGTCCTTGCTCCAACTCCATAGCTATTTTACTTCTATTTAGATTTTCATGATATAATAGTTTAATAGACTCCCTTAGTGTCTTCATTATTTGCCTAAGTGAGAATTTCAGACATCGCAGAAGAATATTGACATGTTCTAGAGTCACCAGGGCATCTCAAGCTATACCCTAAGTGCTGATTATTTAATTTATTGGTTCAATTATTTTATTTCATTTCATTTCATTTTAGAGATTTTATTTTTAAGTAATCTCCACACCCAACATGAGGCTCGAACTTAGAACCCCGAGATCAAGAGTCACATCCTCCACAGACTGAGCATTCAAGAGCTCTGATTCAACTATTTTTTTTAATGTTTTATTTATTTCTGAGAGAGAGAGAGACAGAGTGAGCAGAGGAGGGTCAGAGAGAGAGGGAGACACAGATTCTGAAACAAGCTCTAGGCTCTGAGCTAGCTGTCAGCACAGAGCCCGACGTGGGGCTCGAACCCTTCAACCGTGAGATCATGACCTGAGCTGAAGTGGGACGCTTAATCGACTGAGCCACCCAGGTGCCCCTCAACTATTTTAAATGAAGCATTTATTATATGTCAAGCACAGGCATGGAGGACATGATGCAGGACTTAGGGAGGGCAACTTCTTATGGAGCTTGCATTTACTGTGAGAAGACATTAAGCAAGTAAATAAGCAAATAATTTTAGAGTGATAAATGCTGTTTTAATCCATTTGGGTTGCTCTAACAAAATACCACAGACTGAGTAGCTTATATACAACAAAAATTTATTTCTTACACTTCTCAAGGCAGGAAATCTAAGATCAAGGTGCCAGCAGAGCTGAGTGTAGGCCCTCTTCCGGATTGCAAACTTCTCTTCGTATCCTTACATGGTAGTAGAAGACCAGCAGGCTCTGTGGCAGCTTTGCTAAAAGGGCATTAATCCCATTCATGAGAACCCCACCCTCATGACCTAAGTATCTCCTCATACAAGACCCACGTCCTATTATAATCACACTAGCTCTCAACATACGAATTTTGAAGGGACACAACTATTGAGACTATAGCATATGCTATTACAAAATTCAAAAAGAAGAATGAGAAAAAGAAATCAGGGTTGAAAAGGTGTCCCTTTTAAAGTTGGTATATAATGTTGAATCTTAAAGAGATCATATTAGTTAACAGTTAACAGTCCCTCCAAAAATTAAGAAGGTTGATTTCTTCATACCGAAGCTAACCCTATGTTATTACACTTTGTAAAGACTTTGCCAATCTAGGTAATGCAAAAATGGTATCTCATTGTCACTTTTATCACTATTTCTCTCGTTTTGAAAATGTGAGCCATTTCGTAGTTTCTTTGCTGTGACTTTTCTATGTCCTTTTCCCATGTTAGGTTTGGGTTGTTTTGAATTGATTTGCTTAAGGGCTCTTTTACATAGAGCACTTTTTTTTAAAGAAAGTTCAATTTTATTTATTTTATTTACTTTTTATTATTTCAAATCTTTATTTATTTTGAGAGATAGACAGCACGCACATGCATGGACAAGCACACGCGCTTGTGAGCGAGGGAGGGGTGGGGGTGTGAGTGGGGGAGAGAATCCCAAGCAGGCTCCATGCTGTCAGTGCCGAGTTCAGCGCAGGGCTCCATTCCAAGAATCATGAGATCATGCCCCGAGCCAAAATCAAGAGTCTGACGGTTAACTGACTGAACCACCCCAGGCATCCTAGTCACATGTTCTAAATGTGTTCTCCAATTTGTATTTTAAACTTGTCTGTGATATTGCTTCCATTTAAAAGGCAAGCTTCCTTTTTTTATGCTTGTCTCTAAATATTTGGAGAGCAAAACGATTTCAGGTCAGGTTCCCTAGCAGCTAACCCAAGATAAGAGTTCATGTGCAGTGATTTTTTAAGGAAGCTTTCTCAGGGAAATAAAAAGAGAAAGAAAGAAGCAGAAGAAAGAAGATGTAACCAAAAATGGCTTAATTTCAATCATGTCCTGAGGAGGGCAGCATAAGCCTGCTTACACAGAGGAGCCAATTAAGGGCTGTGGGAAGCAGAACCACATTGAATGGGAAGGAGGGTGGATGGGAAGCACACTGAATATGGGAGAGGGGATTCACAACAAATTATGTAAGGGACCTTG